TGCCCTCCCTTGCCTACAGGGATGTCTGGACAGGACTTTTACTAATTACAGGGGATTATTTGATTTTTCCATTTCCTTGGGGCAAGGTGGAGCTGGAGTCTTCGAATCAACACTGAATCAGAAGATGAGCCAGAGGAACAGGCAATTTAACAGTATAAATACATTTCCCCCTGTGTTGTTCCCGAAAGTTGCTTACAGGCTGAGGAAATTGGGGAAAGCCATGGTCCCCTGTGCCTAAGGGCAAAGGCTGGTGGTGGCCACGCTGCTCAGACCTTCTTCAGGTCCTCAGGGCCAAAGGAGAGCGGCAGCAACTCCTCCAGCCTCTTGACAATGTAGGTGCCATCTGCTTTGGTCAGGTAGACATCCCAGTCTGTGCCAAACTGGAGGAGAAGAGGAGAAACAAGAGCCTGATGAGGGAGAAGAAGGGAAGAATCTGCATTTCTTCCCCAAATTATTCATATACCCCTTTTTTTCAGGCTCACCGGGAGCATCCCCCTCTATTGCATGCATTTTGGGTTGGCTTATCAACATTACCTCCCCCAGAGGATATTTTGGGCTCAGATCCTGTGTTTTTACCCCACCAGCGTGAGCCCCAGTACCTCTGAACCTGCTGAATCTGACCCTCGAGCAGAGCCCCGCAACCCATTAAATATTAACAACCCAAAAATGGGCTGTGGGTGCTGGGATTCCTGCAGGGGAGGGAGACAGAGCCGGACAGGATCTGTGGGAAGCTCAGCTTTTGCTGGAAAATCCCCATTTTCAGGCTTGCAAGAGCCAGAGCAAAGACTCAAGGGCAAAACCCTGCACCCGGAGGAACAAAACCCCTTGTGGGGGGCAAGCGATGGATTCCCACTGAACACCCACTCAGGGCTGGAATACCCCTTTCCCAGCAGATAACAGAATTTGAGGAGCCTGGAGCCAGCCCTGGGGCTGAGGATGGGGAGTTGCACCCTCCTTGGTACCTCCAGGTGTTTCAAGGGGGAGATGCCTGAGGTCAGGGAATGGTGTCTGGGGTCAGGGGATGGTGTTCTGGGGTCAGAGAATGGTGTCTGGGGTCAGGGGATGGTGTTCTGGGGTCAGAGAATGGTGTCTGGGGTCAGGGGATGGTGTCTGGGGTCAGGGATGGTGTTCTGGGGTCAGGGAATGAGCCCCACATGAGCTGTCACCTCTCTCATGACTTGTCTGCAGGCTCCACAGGGCGTGATGAACTGGTCCCCCATGTCACTGCCAAAGAGAAGGGCACAGAGCTCAGTCCTGAGGTCAGAGGAGGGGAGAACACCTGCAGAAGACCTTCATGCCCAGATAAATACAAAGCCACAACAGATTTGCCTCCCAATTCCTCCAGAAACACCACGCAAAAACTTTATTTCCCTCCCCAAAAGACGGGGCTGCTGCAAAAGCAGCTGTCCCTGAGGAGCAGCAGGGATTCTGCTGCTGGCTCGCTATCCCATCCCTCACCATTCCAGCTCTCGGAGCCCCCTCACCTGGCGATGGCCATGGCTTTGAAGCTGGTGTGCCCCTCGGAGATGGCTTTTTGAATGGCGGCGCGCTCGGCACACATCCCAAGGCTGTAGCAGGCGTTCTCCACGTTGCACCCTGCAGGGACAACTCCGGCATCAGCCACCCCACACCCCACCGGCTCATTTCTTAGGGAATTCACAAAGAAAAGCCATTTCCCCTGCTCCCCCTGTTTATTTTCCCATCTGCTGTGATCTTTGGCTTGGTCCGGGACGGCGCCTGCCAAGAGGCAGCGGGGGAGGACGCACAACACCAGCACCCCGGCATGACCCCGCTACACCCTCATACACCACCCGGGGCTTGCTGGGGGCTCCCCAAAATCCCCGGGGAGGGGTGTCTCAGGTCCCCATCTTACCCGAGAAGATCTCTCCGCCGGTGGTGAGCAGCGCGGCTCCCACCGGGAAGTGGCTGTAGGGACAATAGGCGCAGTTTTTGGCCTCCTGGCTGCGGCGCAGCAGGAGCTGGAGATGGTCACCCTTGGGCTGGCCCGCGGGGACAGCAGGGACCGGGTGCTGCCCGCCTCTCTCCATTCCTGCACCCGCCTGCCCTGCCCGCTGACGCCGCGGTTAAATATTTCCTCGCCTGGAAAATAGGCTGGCCGGGACGCCGGGATAACGCCCCGGCACGCAGCTCAACTCCGGGAAGCATCCTCAGGGGCAGCCCTGGCCCCCAAAGCATCGTGCTCAGGGATTCCCACACCTTCTCCCTGCCTGCTGCCTCATTTTTTTCCATTCTCCTCTTTTCATTATTTACTTCCTCCTTTCTCCGTCCTGGCAGAGCATTTTTCTGCCGCCGTCCTAGAGGGTTTTTTCCTCCTCAGTTCAAAACTGGTTCTGTGGCTCCACAGGAAAATGCCGTTAAATCATTTCGGGGGGGAAAGGAACAACAGCTCCTGATCAGCGAGATCAAAAGAAATAAATTACTATGACTGAAGGCATAAAAAAAAAATCTGTGTATATCACATTTTCCCAGGTCTTCTAACTACAGGCAGCAGGGGAAAATGGCTGAAGACACAGGTGGTCAAAAGCCCTTTTTGAGATGCCCTCATGCTGGAGCCCAAATTCAGTTTGGCTAATGCTTCCACGGGAATCAGCCCACACAATGTAAAGGGTTCCCAGGTGATCATCAAATTGCTTTTTAATTAAAGATTTCTCTATTTTTCCCCTTGCCCAAGGAGCTTCCTGCCCCATTTTCTAGCTGCAATGATGGGTTTCACAGCCCCCAGGGATTTATCACTGGGATTTTTATCTGGTTTGTTGGATTTTGGGAGGTTTTGGACTTTACCTGCTGGTTTGCCAGCAAATCTTGCTGCTGAGGAACCACAAGAGGCTGGGAAGCAGCATCCAAATTGGCAGTGGCTTCTGATGGGGCTGAAACAGAGTATGGGACAGTAGAACCACCACAGGCACCCCAAGAAACCAAATTTGGGATGCTGAGATCGTTATTGTCCAAGGGATTACCAGGAAATCCACCTCCCACATACTGTGAGGGTGCTTGTTCCCTCTGGAACCCAGTCATGACAGTTCACCACTTGCCAGGGCAGTGAGTGAGAGGAGCCCTGCCCATAAATCTCTTTTTCACCTTTCAAGTGCAAATCTAGGTTGTTTTGCCCTATATAAAATGCAGAGTCTCCTTTGCCCCACAAAATCTGTGAGAAAAAAGGAAAACCAGTCCTAGGGCAACTTGTGGGATCAAAGCAGAGCAAAGGGACACCACAGCCCTCCCCCCCGACCCAAATAATGTGGGATCTGTCAACAAAGAAGCTTTCAGGGTGGGTTCACACCTGCCCTCTCAATATGAACACGGAGCAAGTAAACACAGCTCTCACCTCAGTCAATGAGGGCAAGAATAGAAATTATGAAAGACAGAGGCTAGCATGGATAGAAATCTTCCTCATTAGCACTAATTCCCTAATTGCCATCTCCCCAAAACCATCCTTGCACCAAGAACAAACCACACAGCCCATGTTTGCATCAGAAAAACTGAAAAACAGACTAATTCATGCATTTTTTATTATTTTGGCTGCAAAAACCTGAGAGGCTGTCAAGGCCGCGGCAGTGAGAGAGTGGGGCTGGTGCTGTCTGCCTGTGAAGCTGCTATTTTAAGATTGTATTTGCTTCACTCAAACTGCAGAAAATCTGGGAAGCTGCTGGGAAATGGCTTCCTGTTCCCTGCAACACCCCACCCTGGTTTTCTTCCCCAAATAGACTAAAAGTGGGGGCACACAGTGTTATTTTACCCCTTTCTCATCCCCATTTTTCAATCCCAATGCAAACAGAGCATCCCCAAGCCCGGGGGTCTCCCTGCTTTACATCCAGATGGTTAAAAAAAAAAAAAGGTGGAAATCAGGGTTTGAGCCAAAGGCACTGAATCCTGAGCAGCCTCAGACTCCACTCCACTGAAACCTTGCAGTGCTCCCCAAAACAACACTCCGAGCTGTGCCATGGGGAAATAACATTCCATTTCTCCAGGAGAGAAGCTGTCCTAGGGCCTTGGCCAGAGATAAAAGCAACAGGTTAAAAGCTAGCTCAGCCCAAAAGGAGAGGAGAAGCAAGGAGATCTGTCTGGCTTGGAAATAACAGGGGCAAATGGGAGGTTTGGAGGAAAAAATGCCAGCAAACCTGCAGGATCTGCAAATCCTGGCACACATCCTTGTGCAATGTACTGATTTGGGGGGCGGAAAACCCCACCTTTTTGTCGTTCCAGTGTCAGAAGCCATATCTGACCCTCCCAAAATCATTCTCTGGGTGGGAAATTAAAGAATTACCCCTCACGCCGGTGGGATTCGGCGCTCAGGGTCTGGTTGCTGCGTGGGGTGAGGGGCTTGATTTTTGCCGGGGCACGGAGCGAGCACGCACGGAGTTGGCGGGGGCCGCTACCCGGCGGGGGCCGCTCATTCACCGACGGGGGCCGTTCGTTCACCGGCGGGGGCCGTTCATTTCCCGGCGGGGGCCGTTCAGCGGCGGCTCCCCGCGTGCTCGGGGAGGTGGAGCAGCCATTTGTGCCGGGGCACGGAGCGAGCACGCACGGAGTTGGCGGGGGCCGCTACCCGGCGGGGGCCGTTCATTCACCAACGGGGGCCGTTCGTTCACCGGCGGGGGCCGTTCACCGGCGGGGGCCGTTCGTTCACCGGCGGGGGCCGCTCATTCCCCGGCGGGGGCCGTTCAGCGGCGGCTCCCCGCGTGCTCGGGGAGGTGGAGCAGCCCACGGAGAGAGCGCCGCGTCCCCGCAGCCGCCGCGTCCCCGCAGCCGCCGCCGTCGCTCCCGCAGCATCAGGCGCAGGCGGCGCCCGGAACGCGGCGGCTCCTCGGCTCCGCATCCTCCGTGGGCTCCGGATCGGATACGGCGGTCCCGCTGCTGGGGTAGGGGCTTCACCCCCTGCTCGGGGGGTGCGGGGACACCCCCCCAAACCGGATTGGGGTGGTGGGGGGGGTGGTCCCGCTGGTTGCGAGCGAGGCCGGGATTAAAGGAGCGGAGTCGAGATGCTGCCCTGGCGCCGGAGCAAGTTCGTGCTGGTGGAAAATGAACGTAAGTGCAAAGGCAAGAGCCTGGGGCCGGGGCTGAGCTACGCGGCGCTGCTGGCCGGCTTCCTCCGCTCCTGCCCGGACCTGCTGCCCGAGTGCCCGCTGGAGCGCCTGGGCAGCGTCTTCCGCGGGAAGCGCCAGAAAGTGGAGCTGAACAAGGAGGACCCGACGTACACGGTGCGGTACCTGGGCAATGCCGTCACCCTGCACGCCAAGGGCGAGGGCTGCACCGAGGAGGCGGTGGGCAAGATCTGGGCCAAGAGCGAGGCGGGCGCCGGCGGGGCCAAGATGAAGCTGACGCTGGGCCCTCATGGCATCCGCATGACGCCCTGCGAGAAGGGAGCCCGCCGGCCGGGCCACGCGTACCTGCTGCACCGCATCACCCACTGCGCCGCCGACCGCCGGCACCCCAAGGTGTTCGCCTGGGTGTACCGGCACCAGGTGAAGAACAAGGCGGTGGTGCTGCGCTGCCACGCCGTGCTGGTGTCCAAGGCCGACAAGGCTCGCGCCATGGCCCTGCTCCTCTACCAGACCTCGGCCTCCGCCTTCAACGAGTTCAAGCGCCTCAAGAGACAGAGCGATTTCCGCCACGTCCAGCAGCAGCTCCTGGGCGAAGCCATCGTGCCCTTGGTGCCCCTCCGCAGGCTGCTCAACGCCAAGTGTCCGTACCGCCCGCCGGCCGAGCGGGCCCGCTGCGCCCCTCGGCTCAGCTCCATCCTGGAGGAGGAGGAGGAGGAGGCCTTCGGCGCTGGGACGCCCTTGGGGGACCCCGAGCGAGCGGCCGTGCTGCGGCTGGCCAGCGACATGAGGGGGTGCAGCCTGCGCGGGCCCCGGGCTGCCGTGTGCTGAGCGCCGGAGGTCACCGGGCATGAGGTGCCCTCTCCCTGCGCCCCAAGCCAGTGCTGGACCCTCCTCGGGGATCAATCTGGACAAGACAGCGGCTCCGCTTGCAGGAAGACCCACGGTGGGGTGGGTTTGCATCCCAGGGATCCCACCCCAGCCCCGCACATGAACCTGCTCTCGTGCCTCCTCCACAGTGGCCATAATAAAAAGATTAATGTGTGTTTTCTGCGGTGTGACGGCACCTGTGTCTCGGCTGGAGCTTGGTGGATGACAGAGTTAAGCTCGGCACTGAGGCAGTTTGGGGGGTTTGTGCTGTATTTACCCCTCGAAAGGAAAGCCAAGGAGGGGGGGCTGCGGGGTCCACAGTGCTTTCCTGCGGCACCGAGGGCTGGGGAGAGCTGCTCCGTGTAGTCATGGCAACTTGATTTTTAAAATATAGAGCTGGGGGACGGCTGTGCCGCCCACGTCGCGGGAGCAGTGACGGGGGTTTGGCCCCTTGGACCCCACTGGAGAGCAGAACTGGAGAGCAGCCCCTCACATACACACTCCAAATTAGCACCAAGGGCCTGAAGATCAATAATTTACGAAAAATTGCTATTTTTTTTCTTCCCTTTTTGCTGCTTTCCCAGAATGAGCGATGGTAAGAAGATGGCGAGGTGAGGGTGGGGGGGTATTGTGTCCCTGCCACTCTGCCATGGCCCTTTGTGGGACGGGGGTAAAGGACTCTGCAAAATGGGGCTGGGGGCTGCGTCCTGAGGCTGAGCCCTCGCAGTGGAGCTGGACTGATGCTGCTGCCCCACAGCCCAGTGAAGGGTTGTAACCCCTTCCCCAAGGTGCTGCAGGGCTGGGATTTGGGGAAATATCCCCCCCCAGCCACCGGGGGACATGCTTTGGTCTGACCACTGCTCCCCCAAACTTAGCAGAACGGTGAGATTTGTGTTGCCTTGCCATCCCCAAGGTGGAAGGGGGGGGTACGGGGGATGCTCCCACTCCCTCCGCACCCGGGGGCATTAGGATTTGGGGCTAACAAGATCCTAAGGGATGACTGGGATTTGGGCTAATCCCCCCTCAGATACTGGTGAAGCTGAAGTTTGAGGTCTTCCCCAGGACCCCAGGGTGGAGGTTTGGAGTAAAGGGGTGGAGAGGCTCCGACCTGTCCCGTCCCGCCGAACTCCCGAGGATGGGGTTTATCCCCCTAAAGCTCCCTGGGGCCGGGACCTGACCCGCAGCCTCTGTGGGGGTGCAGTCTGTGCTACCCCCGCACACCAACAAGGCTTTGCGGAGTCCCCATGTCCCCCCGTCCCCCGCCCGGCCTCGGCGGACCGCCCGTCTCGATGGCGGCGCTGCGGCTGCCAGAGCGCCGCTCGTGACGTCATCACCAGGCGCCGGCGCCGCCGGGCGGTTGCCGTGGTAACGGCAGGCCTGGCGGCCATGGAGGGCGGCGGGCGGCCCTCGGCCGCACAGGCCGTGCTCTTGACCGCCAGCACCGCCATCACCGCTCTGCTCTACTCCGTCTACCGGCAGAAGGCTCGCGTGGCCCGCGGGCTCGAGGTGCGTGCGAGGGGTGCGACAGGGGAATGCATGGGCCCGGTCCCCGGGCCGCGGCCTGGTCGCGCAGGCTGAGCCGCGGCCTCTGTTTGCTCCCCGCAGGGCGCCAGGAAGGTGCGGCTGGACGGGGACCTGCGGGCCGTGCTCCTGGAGGCGCCCGGGCGCTGCGTGCCCTATGCCGTCATAGAAGGTAGGGTCAGGAAGATTAATCCAAAAACACCGGAAGTTTGTGTCCAAAAAGGAGACAGAGGAGTCCTATAACTTTATTCGAATAAAGGGAGAGGCCGTGGGCATTTCGCATGGGGTGTCTCAAATTGCTAGAGGACGCAGCCTTCCTTTTTATCCTTGTTACCTGGCCACATTTCCCTCTCTCTTTCCCCACTGGCTGAGGTACTTGAGAGGTACAGACTTCCTGAAATGCCTAATACCTAAGAACCTCTTCTAATAACCCCACCCCCCCCTTTCCTTTTCCTTGTGCCAGTCAGTGGAATTCATAGAGAATTTACGGGTTTTCCCATTGTTTCTTTTATCTCTCAGTATCTAGTTTTATCTACCAGCAGACCCACAGTTTGTTTGTAAAGACAAATCCCTAATTTCTTTCAAACAGGACCCAAAGCGGTGCCCCAAATGGCACATCCCACCCCACGGCTGCTCCTCACCGGGGGATTTCATCCCCAGCTCCTCCTTCTGTGCCTATCAGGTCATATCCTCCCTTGCCATGCAGCCACAGATTCCTGACAACCCTTTTAACCACATTTTAACCCTTTTCTAGAATGGTTTTGGTTGAAAGAGACATTAAAGCTCATCCAGGTCCACCTCCTGTCATGGCCAGGGACATCTTCCACTGTCCCAGGTTGCTCCAAGTCCTGTCCAACCTGGCCTTGGACACTTCTAGGGATCCGGGGTCAACTACAGCTTCTCTGGGCACCCTGTGCCAGGGTCTCCCCACCTCACAGGGAAGGATTTCTTCCCAGCAGCCCATCAAAACCTGTCAGTATGAAGCCATTCCCCATGGTGCTGTCACTCCAAAGTGACTCCTGTCACTTTGTTTAATGAGCACCTCGCCTTCCCCTTGGACTCCCGTTGCAGGTGTGGTGCGGTCAGTGAAGGAGACCCTGAGCAGTCAGTTTGTGGAGAACTGCAAGGGCGTGGTGCAGAGGCTGACACTGCAGGAGCACAAGATGGTGTGGAACAGAACCACCCACCTCTGGTATGTGCCTGGTACCCTCAAACACCTGTGCTGCCCTCGGGGGGGGTCTGACACCCTGAAGTGGCATCAGGCATGGCCAGAGTGACCAAGTGCCTCAGAGCTGGATCCCAAAGTAGCCCCCACAGTGACAGCTGCCGGAACAGAGAGTGTTTGGCTGATTTTAGGGCTTTCACAGAGGGGCTGGAGGAGAAGAGCACGTTAAATAACCCAACACAGGCTGAACATTGATCAGCCCCACCTTGTTACAGAGGTGGCCAGAGGATGGCATTCCCAAAAAAACCTCACTTGCAGAACAGAAATTAATTGGATTTGGGTTATCCCTGCATCCAGGGGACCTGAGGAGGATCCCAGAACTGCTGAAACAGAGCCCAGTGATGCTGTTTGATAAGCATTTGGTAACACTTATCAAATTGGGATGTGTGACACGTGGTACTTCTCAGGGGATGGTTTTGACAGCTGGGAATGCCACAAACAGGTGAGGAGGAAGTAGATGTGGATGGGGGAAACCATCCAGTGCTTGTGGAACACTGAGGTGAGGGTGGAGTGGCCTGGTGCACACCTGGATAGTGCCGTGAGGGGAAAAGTGCTCTCCAGAGATCCCCATCAAAGAAACTCCACTGGGAGTCCCCAAAACCAGCAGGTCATCCCATTCCCATCAGGGGAAATCAGTTCACTTCCTCCCCTTCTCCCTCCCCAGGAATGACTACGAGAAAATCATCCACCAGAGAACCAACACCGCCCCCTTTGACCTGGCCCCTGCCGAGGCCGGTGCTGGTGTCACTGTGCGGGTGATGAAGCCTCTGGATGCTGTTGAGCTCAGCCTGGAGACGGTCTACGAGAAATTCCACCCCTCTGTCCAGTCCTTCACGGACGTCATCGGCCACTACATCAGCGGGGAGCGTCCCAAGGGCATCCAGGAGACCGAGCAGATGCTGAAGGTGGGCACGGCCCTGACCGGGGTGGGAGAGCTGGTCCTGGATAACACCACCATCAAGCTGCAGCCCCCGAAGCAGGGCATGCCCTACTACCTGAGCTCCCTGGATTTCGAGTCCTTGCTGCAGAAACAAGAGTCTGGCGTCCGGTTTTGGAAAATCCTGACCATGGTTTTCGGCTTTGCCACCTGCGCCGTGCTCTTCTTCCTGCTGCGGAAGCAATACCGGCACCACCGCGAGAGGCAGCACCTCCGGCAGATGCAGGAAGAATTCCGGCAGGCCCAGGAGCGCCTGATGAACGCCGAGGGGGGCGAGGTTCTCAAAAACGCCTGCGTGGTCTGCTTGAGCAGCACCAAATCTTGCGTTTTCCTGGAGTGTGGCCACGTCTGCTCTTGCCACGAGTGCTACCAGGCTCTTCCCGAGCCCAAAAAGTGCCCAATCTGCAGGCAGGGCATCACCAGGATGGTTCCCTTGTACAATAGTTAATGTTTTGTGATTTCTGGGGGGGAGATTCTGGATTTAAAGCTGCCACTGGCAAAGGGGTTTTTTTGCCTCGCTGCTTGGATGGTGGATTTTGGGGAAGGGGAGGGAGCTTGAGGGAGGGGGTGCTTCAGCAGTGGAGCAGAGCTGAGTCTGAAAAGATGACTCTGCAGCTTGCTCATGCTGTGCTCTGGAGGTGTTTTTGAGAGAGGTGATTCCTTGCAAAGGGTGAGGTGCTTGGGGGAGGTGCAGCTTGAAGCTCTTCTGTTAAGGTTTGGACTCTCAGGGTTTGTGTCATGGGTACAGAGCCTGCAGCCCCTTACCCAGCTGATAAAAACATGGGGAAAACAAAAATAAACTGTATTAAGGGTTCTGAGAGGCTGCAGAATTCCTGTGAGGCTACCAGAGGGCTGAAAGGCCTAACAGAGCAGGAGGGGCTGTCAGAGAGCTCATACCAGGGGGTATGAACACAGGTAATTCTCTGATTCCCCCCAACATGGCTTTGTCACACCAAGATATGAGGATGGAGATGTGAGAATGCTGTGGCTGATGGCTGTGCTTGGCTTGGGATAGCAGATGGAGTGTGAAGTAATAAAATAGGCTGAAAAGTGTGTCTGTGTCGGATTATTCCCTGGGAGTGGTGAGGTTTGTCCTCCCTGAGGTGGACACAGCCTGGATCATCCCGAGCCATGAAGGAGGATGGCAGAGGGGGGAAACCTGTCCCCCTTGCACTGGACATGACAGTCACCACTGTCCCCTCATGACACAGGCGGTGCCAAACCCCTAAATTGACACAAAGAAGGAAAATTCCCTTCCCTGACACCCCCGTTTGCCAT